GTGGTTTGCTGGAGTCCTGGACGTGCAGCCTTTCTAAATCCATCTAACATATATACATTGATATACAGATCATTACAGATCTGAGCTACAAGCACGGAACAGGGAACAGTTTATACAGCATTTACAGGTGATCATGTGACTGTCCCCTCCCGCGCTCGCCCGAACCCGCACAGCGTGAACGAACGCTGTGAGGTTCCATCAGCGACATCCTCACATCACCCGTGGATGACTGGGAAGGCTGAGGGATGTTGGTTGAAGAAACCCTTCCGCAAAGAGACCAACTAAGCAAACTGTAGCCAATGCCAAGCTATTTTGACAAGTTTCGCGCGTACAATTTATAGAGCCTTTAACAAGCTTTTCAGAGTACAAAGTGGTCGGTCAAACCATGAAAGACCAGTGCTTTTGGCGTGGCCCCGTGCTTTCCCAATGGACTGCCGAACCTCGGAGGCGAGATCGAAGCAAAGCACTTCGAGGCGTTCATTCACCTGGGGAGTCCATCCGTTCGTTCACCTAAAACGGGTCCGTTCCCCCGAAGACTCGACCCGCCCATGGACTCGAACCAGGACCCAGAGGTTTGGAGACTGGAGGATCGACGGGTCGGACTTGTTTTCGTTGATGACACCCTGCTGGGTTGGTTGAACTCGGAGAACACCAGCTTCCCATTTGAAGGATCTTCCTAGCTGCTAGCTAGCCCCACAGACCATCGAAAAGTTCCATAATTCAGACCAGACTGTAATAATGACGGATCGTGCAAAAGATGTGCATGGATCCATGGTTCATTATATGACACATTATCCCATACAATTGAACATTTTTTTCTTTTTGACAAAGTTGACTAACCTCCAACGAAGGAATTGCACATAGACGACGTTTGGCACAAGTGCTTGTACTGTGCTTTCTTGACAATGGTTGCTGCGACCATGAAATGGAAGACCCATTTGGAGTCAAAGTCAAGGGAAGGGATAAAATCAATATGTTGCTTGTATCGCTAGAAAGAGCAGGATGCGGCATGACCAATCCTTGTGGTTAGATGCTCATGCGCTTGATTGCCTTTCAAGTGCGGCAGCTAGCTTGTCCCACAGGCCATCTGTGGCACAATCATATTTGTAAAGCAGACCAGACTGTAATTAATGATCGATTGTGCTAAAGATGTTTAAAAAAAGAAGACTTCTGAAGATCGCTTCGTCAGTCACGTTTCTTCGTTTTCCATGATTTTCACGATGGGTCGATCGATTCGACTTGCTGCGAACAAGCACGTTCAGGCCAACAGCAAGTCGCTCGGCACACTCTACCGGCGCGCCGTCCGGGAGCCGAGGAGAACACTCTGCGGCGGGAGACCGCGGTCGACGTTGGGCGCGCCGCGCGTCGGGCGGCGCTCACCGGCGCGGTTCGGCCGCTGAAAGCAGCGGCGCGAGTCGTGAGGCCCGGAACGACGACGATGGGCTCGGGCCCTTCGGGCTCCACAAGGCCTCGTGCGGAGCTCAGTGGAGTGCTCGATCTCAGTGGAGGGCAGTGTGGGAGTTGCGGGTCTTCCACAAACACCTGCTTTGTTTGCCAAGAGCGATGCCAAGGGCGGAGCCAGTTCTGAAGAAGACTCCTTCCGAGTCACCGCCTGAGTGGGCGCTGGGTCTGGGCCGGTGCTCGGAGAAAGGAACCGGTGGAACGGAACCTCAGCGATCAGCAAGCTGCTGAGCTTCTCCTGGTTTAAGGTCCTATAGGTGATTTTTGATGTTCCATGTGGCTACATCCCCTTCTGTACATCCCCTTAAGCAAATCCAAGTTCTGGGAAGCCTCCAACCTAGGCTTTTGAGGTCAATGTTTGCATGACAAGTCGCACTGTGCCACAACAAAGCAGGTTCTGAGCATTTGCGATGGTGGCTTGGGGATGGCAAAAGAATGCCGGTTCTGACCTCGCGACAAGATCACGACATCAGGTATAACAACCCAATCCTGTTTGTATCCTCTTACTACAAAATATGCTCATCACTGATGAGAATGGGAAGAAACTGATGAGGTCGCACGGCAAACGCACTCTCTAGATGGTCTTGAAACTTGAATCGATCACTTGGTCACCCGACGATGAGACACGCATGTTTCGACGATTCGCGTTACACGCTGATGAGAAACGTGCGACGACCAGCTTCAAACTGTGAGACTCGTGAGGCCTATCAACCCAACCAGTGGAAAAAACTACAGCTTGGATACCAACGTTTTGACACCGCTTGGTTTCTGGTCTCCCAGCGCTTTGGTATTCTTTCAGACAGACGCACCCCGCGAACTGCGACTCGACTTCGCTCACCTCCTGACTTTTTCCACTTCTCCCACCTGGTCCTACTCCTCGGCTCTATCCAAAGGCTCTGGGGCTTTCAACCACCAGCCTCTCACCGCCTCGCTCCGCCACCGGCTCCGCGCCTCGTCCAGGCCCGAGCTCACCGGACCCCTCGGCCTCGACGACGGCCACGCTAGCGCGAGCGCCGGTAGCGCGAGCGCTCCGCCGGTGGCGCTGATCACGGTCACCGTGAGCCGGAAGCCCACGCGAGCCATGTGCGCCCGTTGTTCGCTCCGCTTTTCTCCGCGGAGCGACCGATGCGGACCGAGGAACTGGCGCCGTTGGAAACCCGGCCCGCGTTCGGCGCCAATATGGGCGAGGTATCACGTGAGTGACACCACGGATGTGGCCTTCCTGATCGCCCGCCTCGCGCGGGAGATCCGCCAGGCCAAGCAGGCGCGGATGAACCGAGAGAGACGGTCCAGATCCGGTTTGGTCACGGAGCCGAGGATTGGGCTTCCACAAACAGCCTGGGCAAGCTGAAGTGCTTATGTGAGGTGTCCAACATGCTGCAAATTTCCAGTCCGCGCGTTTCCGCCATATTCCCGCACATGTCCGCCATATTCCAGCAAATTTCCGCCATAGACTTGATTGTCAAGTTTTGCAAGTTGCAGCTCATCAGACGTTGGAATGCCAAAAGTTGAGCTGGAGAGTGTGCTATGCACCCCTCATTGTGTCCTGTCGCGCCAGGTGCAGGTCAAGAACAATTAATGAAATACATATTTTCCTTTTTTGGCATGACAGCTCCAAGAAGCATGTTTTTGGACCTTTGGCACATTTTTGCATACAAAGGTTGCTCCAGGTAGAAACTGGTACTAGTAGTGCTAGTATTGGTACTAGTACTGGTGGCGGTAGTAGTAGTAGTAGCAGTAGCAGTAG